ACTCAAACTCATCAGGTACAAGATATCACCTTGATTGAACACCAAATTCTCCTTATCAATTTATAAGGAAATGTGTAGCAGCCAGAGGGGAGAATTAACAATCAGATCTTGGGAGTTAAAGAGTTTATAGGGTTAACCGTTAGCCATAAAACGTCAAAAAAAAAAAAAAAACTGCCGTAAGACATAAAAATTGACAAATTTAACCGTGAGTCGTAAAAACTGTGAAGCGTAAAAAAATTCTCTTTTTATCGTAACGGAAATTAATTAATGATTATATATGTAGCCGTAAAATGGCCAAAATTTTAAACGTTAGCCGCCGGAGCCAGCACTTAGTTGAGACCTTCTCGTGTTTGAAAGAGAATTTGGTAAATTAGCCACCGGAGAGAGATTTTAAAGCTGACAGTTGGAGCATTGGCTCTTCGTTATAGCGAATTCTCTATTCTATGTAGGCTGGAAAACTGACTTTAATGTTCTGGGACAGCAAGCTTCAGATCCTTCAGTTGGGAATCTTAGATGTGTCTAAATAGAGGGTCTCAATTGGGTGATGGCTTTTACGGCTAACGGTTAAAATTTTGGCCAAAATACGGCTAACGGTTAACACCTTTCCATTGTTTCTACCAGACATATTTTTACGGTTAACTCTTTTTTATGGCTAACGGTTAAAATTTGTCAATTTTTACGTCTAACAGCTAAATTTTTTGGCCGTTTTACGCCAAACGGTTAACCCCATTGAGACCCTCTAAATAACGTCCAAATCATCTGGGCTTGTCATTATTGAATGCAACGAAACTTGCACTAAGCATTTGCCTAATTAAGCTACGATTTTTTATTTTGAATATTTGATAAGGACAAGTGTAGTTGCCACTAAGTTTCCGTGCCAATAATATATTTACGAACTCTAGTATCATTTGCAATTGGTGTCAAAACCAAGGTAAACTCCTGAGAAATGTAATCAAAATTTAATTTTTCTGTCATGGTCGTCTTCGACTGAGAATCGGAAGGCTTTTTGTTTGAAAACTTTCTTAAAAGACCGGAACGGAAATCGCATCCACAAAAAGGCTCATTTAGAAAGAGGGAGAGACAGAGGAGGAGACAGAGAGAGAGAGAAAAAAGTTTCAAAACAAGATTCGTGTCTCAGTATTGGTTAAACTTAATGAGTCACATTAAGAGCTTCTCGTATTCAAAAAATTTATTCTGATTTAAGTGAATTGAATTTTCATATGAGGATATCGATCGTATTAATTTGGTTCAGATTTATTGATTTGATGATACTTTGATATTCTTCCCAGATCCGTGCTCTTTCGATTTCGACTAACTTCCTCATCATTATGAACCCATTTTTGAGCAAGAACAAAAGAAAAGATCTCTCAATGAATAGCTAAAAGAAATAACATCTCATCATAATCGTCATAAACAGAGATTTTCGTGTGAATAAATTCTCCCCCACATCTGCGATCTACGTCAACGGAAACAATTCTCTGCAAAAGAGTTCAAGTTTTCATCAAAGGAAAAATCAATTTCGCATGACTTGAAGAGCGACGAGTTCTTGAGCCGTACGTTACAAGGTACACATCCACAGCCGTTTAATAAGGTTCATCAACATGAATGGAAGTTTCTCTGAAGATTCACTCCTTAATTCCTCCCGACCCGTGTTCTCATGTCCAGGTGCTGCGCAGATTCATGTATCAAAAGGAGAGGTATCAATTTCCCTTTACTTTGCGTTCATTGTCGGAGCCATTTCGTGTCCAGGTACAATTCTTTTGAGCATTTTAGTGATCGTAACAGTATTGAAGACGAGAGAGTTACGGACAAACTCAAATATTCTCCTAACTAGTTTGGCCGCCACTGATTTACTAGTAGGCTTAGTTCCTGCACCGCTAGCCATCGTTACAGATGCTTTGCATCATCGAAGAACTGTATCGTTTCAAGTGACTTGTACGATGCGCAAGATTTACCTCTTTGCAATGCTCGCTACGTTCATCGCTTCATATAATCACTTGATTTTAATGGCCTGGGAGAGGTATGTTGCGGTAGTTAGATGTTTGGAGTACAAGTTTATAGTTACAAAAGGACGCATTAAGAGAGATGTGGTAATTGCTTGGATTACAGCCATCACAGCAACAGCCTTCTACATCGTATTCGACGCCACTGGTGTTCAGTTGGAGGTCATTTTGGTAACGGACATCATCATATGCGTTCTTTGGTTAATTGGTTTTTTATTGGTGGTGTATTTTTACTTCATGGTTTATAAACAAATAAGAAAACAGCACCGAAGTCAATTCCGCCGAGTAGACGCTCTTATCAAAGCAAGGATCGAAAGTAAAATCGCCTTTACGGCTTTTCTCTTAACATTTGTCGTGTTTGCCTCGTTTGTTCCTTTAATCGTTTCACTCTTTGCAAACTTGTCACTCACAGTGAAGCAAACTTGGCGATGGACACAAATTTTCGTCCAGGTGAACTCTCTAGTGAATCCTGCCCTCTATTTTTATAGGAACAGACGATACAGGAAGGCTGCAGTTAAATTGCTGAAATTTAAAAAACCTCAGAAAACTCAGCCAGTACGCCAGACTAAGCTTCTTGCGAAAAGGCACCGGTACTCCATCGTGTCTCTGGATATCAAAGATTTTGTCGACACCGAAATGGCTAAACGGTCCCCTGCGCGCTCACAGTCTTGGGCGGCAGAAGCATTTGAACGCTGGATCTCCGTGCGTGGAGAACAAGATAAGGCAGTCGAGGATAGAAGAATATCATGTCCGACTTTAATAAACCATGAAAACTTGTTTGAAGTGACTCGACCTGTTACCAGAACTATCATTGTTCAGATTGAATGTGCACGCGAAAAGAAACCATCAAAGAGGAGGACGAATTTATCAAATGATAGATACAATGCTAAAACGTGCAATCACCGCGGGATGCCGAGATCAGAGTCTTTGAATGAAAATGCACTAATCGTTTTGAAAAGTGGCCGTCCAAAACTAGCCGAAGTTAAGCATCATAGACGCAAATCAGCGCCATTGGTTTTAAGAACTGAAAGCAATATTTTGAGAAAAGAAGAATTGCAACATTGAAAAAGTTGTCGATCGATGGGCATGAGCGCTGAACATGACAACGTAGTGAGTAGCATTTGTGACCAGAAAGGAAGACCTCAGCGGACACCAACTAAATTCCCGAATTGTTTAAATTTTGTGAATGTTCTTTAGAGAAAAGTTTAGAAGCTGCAAACATTTGAATGGTCTAATTACTATAGATGAAATGATTTAATTAAACTGATTAAAACAGATTGACCATTTCAAATGGTCTTATAAATATAATGACACACCCTGATACCAGGTTCTAACTAGATGAGATATTTCAACCGCTCAAAACGGTCTCATTAGACTTGAGGTCCAACCACTTAAAACGGTCCGATATAATCCAAATGGTCTAACTAGCATGTGTGTTCTAACCTGTAAAAATGGTTTCATTAGCTAAATTTGTCCAACCTTTAGAAACGATCCAACCAATCAAAATTGTTCACTCGGTTTTTGAAATGGTCTAACCAGATAATCTTCGGAATAAAAAGTTTTCATTTGAGCTCCTAAAGGTCTACCTTAATCGGGATAGAAATAAAAGGTTTTCCTTAAAATTTGTGCCTTGCACCGATATCTACGGTCATTTTCACCTGCCCACACAGATCAATGATCTCCTCGGCAGATCATGGATACAATGGATAGATACAATGGATGGATACAAAGAAGGTTTAGAAGCATACAACTTTAAAAGAATTTGCGAAGCTTTTTTTTATTGTGCGTCTTACACACCAACAACAAAGATCAAGGCTGCGTGAAACAACATGTCCCTTTAGGGACCTGGTACTGGGTTGGCCAATCCCAGCGTCCATTCTGACCTCAGTATTAACAAATTCGCGTATTTATCTTTTGGGCTTTAGATTTCACGTGTAGTGTCACGTGACTTTTGATGTAACCAAACCCGAAAGTTCGGACATTGAGTCGAGCTTGCCCAAAAATACCTGATCAGATACATCACTGTACGCAGAAGTAGTTCGATTATTCCATGCCACAACGCTTCCTGTAACATTCTTCGCACCTGCTTCAACGGCAGCGAAATGACAACTTGCTTGACACACGATCAAATAAATGATAAAAGAAAGATGCCAATTTTGAGCGAAGAAATGTTTCTTATTTGGAAGTGGGTAGTTATTTCAGAAAAATTTCCAAAGTCGAAATGAACTGGAAGACGAGCTTGTAAAGCGGTCCGCAATGAATTGAAAAATTATCTGTCGCTTGGGAATCAGTGGGGCGCGGAGGATTTGGGGATGAGTCACGTGGTTTTCGGGATGAATCGGTCGTCTCTAACAGAGTATAAAAGGGAAGGAAATAAAATTAACTGCCAATAGAGGGGAATCCTAAGAATACTACTGGGCCTCGGGGCGAACAAATAAATATCAGATGACCAGTCCCCAATGTAGTGGTGGCATCGTCTCATTATCCGTTGACGCCTCTCAGCCTTTCCATTAAGACTTTTGGAGGGCTCTCAGGGTTGGATAATAGTCTTGTATGAAATAAGTTACTTTTCGTGAAATGAAATACTTCATGTCTGCGTTTCTCGCATTTTGTCAGACCCCATTAAACGCAAAAGGACATGTTGCACCATGCAAGGGTAATCGTACCCGATTTTCAAATCGGCTATGCGCTCGGCGTTCGCTATTCTCCTCCAGAGCCGTTCTCAAACTCATCAACACTCCTGCTCAACGAACGTTCATTGAGAAGGAGCGTTACGTGAAGAGTCTGAGAACGGCTGCGAAGGAGACTAGGTGTTCGACCAATTACTCTCTAAAACTCCACTTCTCTTAGAGCTGCTAACTTTGTTCACTTTTCTGTTATTTCTGCTCCCCTTTGTTCATATATGGATGTGGAGTTTTTTCTTTATGTCTCATAGAAGTATCCAACTTCCAAAGTGCCTATGGGCTCAATTTAACCATTTAAAAAAGACAATCAGGATAAGTGTAAACATCTGTATTACTATGTGAACGAATCAGATTTCCTGCTCTAACGTATGAAAATTTCCCTTACTTCATTAAAAATCCCTGTTAAAACTCGTTTGCAAACCGTCAAAACAAAACTGTATAAATTATTTTGAAACATTAACCCAGTTTCCTCTTATGCAATATCTGCACGATAAATTAAAATTATAAGTCTCATCTGGAACATGCAAAGCTAAACATGGCACTCACATTTACGTAAAACTTGCGGAAAGACAAGTGATTCGACGTGTCTTAACAATTTCGTTTTCCTAAAAGTAATCAAAATGCGTCAAAATTCAAAGATGTGTTGCAGTCGCTAAATGTCAACGTTATCCTGCTTAATGAAACGTGATTTTCCAAACAATAATTATAACTACAATGACTACAGTTAAATACATGCAGATTGATTTCCTTGAGGAAAAACTGACCTCGCTATTTTATCTAGCTACAATACTTTTAAATCAGATAGTGCGTATGTTGGCTACAACATGTGCTTGTCAAGATTATGCAAGGTACACTAAACAGTTTTCATATGTTCATTGAAAGTGATGCATTTTCCAATTGCTCAACATAATTCATTAATTCTTTGAACAATTTTAGAAAACTCCCAAACGTCTCTCCAAATTATTATGCAATTAGCCTTCATATTTGTTTTTACCACGTACTGGATTTGTGGTTTAACTCTTTCGAACTGTGCAATTATCTTTGCTCTCCTTACAAGTTCTGCAGAGTTATTTTGCATTTCTTTTCAAGTCCCGCGGTCTCAGCGGCTTTCTATCTTTAACTGTGCTTGCAACCAGATTCTGGGACTTTGTCTTCTTTAAGAAGCGTTTGCTGCTGTCATCTAACAGGCAACTTGACGCCGTCGACCGCGCAATTGTGCGACGCCGTGCAATCGAGGTCTTCGTTTTCTTTGGCGGCGATATTTCGATGTTGTAAGAGATGCTTTCTCTTCGCGAGGAACCTTCGTCTGGAGCTGCTTCATTGGGAAGATTTTCGTTTGAGCGGGACCGAAGAGATCCAAGTGCCGACTGCATGGCCGTGGCGATACGCTGGGATCGTGGTTGTTTAGCTGGAGTAATGCTGGGGGCAGACTTAGATTTTGCAATACTCGGTCTTTCGCTGTTCTTTGGTTTAAACAGACTAGACGCACCTTCCACCGATTTTCTTTTGCGTGTGTTGAATGATTTGGCAAGTGACGCGTCCAAAGACATTCTTCCTGTTTTAAGCACATCTTCTTGCACAGAGAAGTCAGGGTTCATTTGAGTTTCTACCGGGTAAGATGTCTGTAGATGCGGAAGGCACGACGCATTCCGACGCTGCAGCTCGGCCAGTCGGTTCCAGTCATATTCCACTTCAGCATCTTCCATTTCTGGTCCAAGCTCATCTCCCAGGATGAAGTATGCAGCACTGTTTGTTGTGCGCTTTTCAGGCGGGGTGTTACCTCGCATGTAAATAGCACTCTGCCGGCGGCTGGCGCGAGTCTGAACTCCAGCCCTCAAGCTTGAACTTGAGGCCGAGTGCAGAGTGTTGAGAGATTTGTTTAACTGGTTACAAGCATTGCTCGGGAGTGTAGGCGCTTTCATGCTTCCCTTAACAGAGCTTGCAAAATCCGCTAGCTTCAATGGTGGGCCTTCGTCAGAATCAGTGGAGCTATCCTCTTCAAAAAACTGCTGTCGAGCGTACATTTGCGCTCTCTCCCCGTCAGTGGCCTTCCTTCTGAGCGACTCTATAATACTTTCGGACTCAGCCGAAGTTTGTCTAAGTTCTCGTATTTGTTTGTCGGCATGAGCCAACTGTGCCTCCATAGAGTGTACCTCTGTGCCAAGCCGTCTGTTGATATGAGTTTCCTCCTCGACTTTCTGCTCCAGTTGATTTTTCTCAGCTTGTAATTCCAGCATGTGATCTTTCAGCTCTGCAAACGCCTTCTCTGTCTCCTTCATTCCTTTAGAAGTACGCTTAAGTTCCTCTATCTTCGCCAGTAGTATCTTCTCTTTGCCTTCCCACTTAGCTTCAGAATTTTTCACCTCGTTAACTGCTTCCTCTTTCGACGCCAGCGTTTCCTTCAACAACAAGTCAAGTTCTTCAACTTGTTTATCCTTTTCGCCAAATTTAGCTTCCAACTCAGCTATGCGCACTATCAAGCCATCTCTTGTCTCTTTTTCCTCTTCGATAATCTCGTCTATTTGTTCTTTCCCTTTCTTTTCCAACTCACTGTAATCCTTTTGTAACTTTTCGAGTACTTCATACTCCTGTTGTCTCTTTGTTTCTAATTTGTTGTAATCCTTCCTCAAGCTTTCAACCTCCTCTTGCACAGCGTTCATCTCTGTTTGTTTGGCTTCTTCTAATTGACGTATCTCGTTCCTTGTTCGATCTTTCTCGGTGTCTGCTTCTTTCCTTAGCAAATCAACACTTGCTTCCAGCTCCTCTACTCTAATAACATAACTCTCGCATTTTCCTCTTAGCTCAACACATTTCTTGCGCTCCAATTCCAATTCTTCCTTGGTCGTCTCGAAACCACTGACTTCCAATTCTAGCTCAGCAACGATGCTTTTAGATTTCAGAAGCTGATTCTCCAAATGACCGTTGTCTTCTCTGGCTTTCCTCACTTCTTCGTCCAGCGTTTCTACTTCTACTCGCGCTTTCTTTCGAACTTCGATCAATTCGTCTGAATGCCTCTTAGAGTTTTCAAACATTTCGCTTCGCGTATTCATCACTTCCTCTGACAGTTGATCAAATTTCTTTTTCCAAGCTGTGCGCTCTGCGTCGCAAGCCTCCTGGATTTTTGCGGCGTTTCTTTCAGCTTCTTCCAACATGGATTTCTGTTTGTTAGCGAAGGCCTCCTTCACCTCCTCGTACTCCTCCTCGAGTTGGTTAGTTTTCGTACGGAACTCAGAGGCAACCGCGGCTTTTTCTTGCGCCATACTAACGATCTTGGAATCTTTTGAAGAAAGGAAATATATTGATTAGAAATGTTAGCAGAAAGAGCGAAAGGCTGTTTAGAAAAACACCTGAGTCGGGCAGCACTATCGGTAAGAGCCGACCAAAACAACCAAGTAGAGTGTCATCGCTAGCCAGCTACATTTTCCTCATTATTTAAGATAAATAATGTTGTTTCTGAAATACCATCGAAGAGATTCGTACAGCTGCAACTTCCAACTTTAAGATGGAATTTAAAGCAGAAATTATCAAGAAAAAGTTGCTCGAAGTATCATACAAGTGACTATATTGATAGGGGCTCGTTCTAACCCTAAGCAATCTCCTAATTACAGGGTAAACGATAACTTCCATCATAGAGAACAAACACACAGCAGGGTTCTAAATAAACATTGTTACTGTTTCCTATTTCTTTCCGTTCGAGAATCGCAAAATAAACTCACCCAACTCGCTTTTTAAGGCCGCTAGCATCTTCTCGTAAGTTTCTCTAACTTGATCCCTTTCTTTTTCCAAAGCTTGAATCTTCAGTAATCTATTCTCCAGTTCTTCCTCCAATCGCTGCCGCTGTTTGGTGAGTTCGTCTACCTCTTCTTTCATTAGACTCATTTCTGTGTCATATTTTAACTGGTTGTCATGTGCACGGGCATTGCTGGTTTGAAGACTGCCTTCCAAACCTGCTTTCAAATTCGCCAAGGCTTGTACTTCAATAGTCGTCTCTTGCAGCCGCTTTTCTCTGATATCAAGTTCTTTAGCAAGTTCTGCTTTTAGCAAGTGTTCTCTCGACAGAGCTGACTTCAGTTCTTCTACCTCTCGGAAACAATGTTCCTGTATATTCTTGAGTTGTTCGTCCATTTGTTCTCTAACAGAAAGAATGAGATAGAGAACTTATAATGTCTCCTAACATCAAACCGAAGAGAAACAAAGACTTTTAGAATTGCATGTGGTAAAACCAAAGACAGAACAATCAAAAATGGGATGCAAAGCATACTAAACTGTCCGATGCGTGGAAAATTGCCACTGATGACCAACGATTACTCTTTCATTTGATTTGGACCTGACCAGTCGAAAAGCTGGCGCAAATTAGGGGACCAACCAAAGTACAAAAGAAACCAGAAACCAGACCTCGAATGACTCTAAAAGTCGATCGTAACAAAGAAAAAATAGGCAATCGATGGTAACTCTAAACTATTGTAGTTCCACGACTAACCAGCTCTAATGCACGACCGACGCTAATGAAGCGTGGGTAAAGGCTAGTGATAAATCGGCTCTTGCATATTTCCTTGGTTGATCAATACCAATGCGTAAAATTAGAAAATATCATCAAAGGACTGTTGATAATTACGTTTAACAGAAAGTGTAATAACTAGTCAAAGACTGAACGTATTTACTACCAGGGTTGACCTAGCCTGCATAAGTGATGCTTTTTCGGCCATTTGATGAAGATAAAGTCGGCGGATACGAGAAGTTACGAGAACAACAACAATTGCAACAACGTGCTTTGCTCTAGCGCCTTTGCCTCTCAAAGCTCTAAAGTGCACCAAAAGGCCACCAAATACGCAGGCTAGGATGTAACCGTGCATGATCATAAACAATACGATTGTTACTGTAGCTGCTTCCAACTGAAAAGAATAAGCGCGAGTTATTTTCGTAATAGACTGATCAATCAGCTTGCCGTTTCCATCTTTCCTTCGACTAAATAAGGTCAAATCGAGTGCAGTATGCCTACGCGGACCTCAAGCCTTCCATATTGGGTTCACCCAAATACTTGAGCATCACCTTTTATGAACTTCGACCGTGAGCTGATCTTCGAGTTCTTGGATCCTGCTTCTGGCGGCTACGTACTCTTCCTTTTAACAAAAAAAAAATAGGTGAAATAAATAAAATAAATAAATAACAAATTATCTCCTTTTCCTCGCCACTCCAAGCTTCTCGGTACAAGAAAATACTGCCTAATTTCTTCCCTTTTCTTATCGACGACTTCCTCCACTTGACTAAAAAATTGTTGGCTTTATGTTATATCCAGCTGCTCTCATAGCGAGAAATTCTGACAGCATGGTAGTTTACGCGCGAATTTTGCGCACCACTGGCGTTCGAAACCCTCGGCTACTCTTGACAAGGTTGGAATACCATTTTTTTTTTTAAACATAACTGAGAGTTATACCTTGTAAGAGGTCTGCACTTTCTTGGTGTCCTCCAAAGTCTCCTTTAAAGCCAGGTATTCTTCTTGGTTAACTGCTGTAGACAGACGCGACTCCAAGCGATTTTTCTCCAGTTCTAGTTCAATTACTCTGCTGTCGATGTTGACAGCTGCCAATGGGGCATGTCGTCTTGGTGATTCGTCTTGGAAAGAAACAACAAACAGCGGTCTAGCAATAGCCATTTTGTTAACTTCGTGATGAGAATAAACAAAATTGAGGCTATTCAAAATAGTTAAGAGCTATCGTTTGTCTCACGACAAGGAAACCGACATAAAATCTGAAAGAAAGAACAAACCGTGGCCTAGCGATAGCCATTTTGTTAATTTCGTGAAAAGAATAAACAAAATTGAGGTTGCTCAAAATAGTCAAGTTCTATCGTTTTCTCATGACAAGGAAACCAACATATAATCTGCGATTACGCATTGTAATTAAAACAACGATCTCTTGTAACCGGGAAAAGGGGTTATGAAGCTTGACCTGAAACTTACGGAGAAGCTCAATCACAGAACTTCTGTGACCCGAACAACAGCGGAAAGTTAGGAGTGCTCCCAAGCATTTGCTTACCATCTATCATATTAAGTTGAAAATACTGGAACGATGACAGTAATAATGATGATGTTAAAAAGAAACAATAAAACAATAATAGTGATACTGACGAAAATAGTAATAATAATTGTAACAATAAGTTTGGGTTAAAGAGCCTATTTATTACTTCAACATGAACCGAGCAGTTTCATGTAAAGACCGCAGAAATAACTGACTACATCCCGAATGCGCATATCGTTATATAATCATTAGTGGCGCGTTCATTGTGATAAGTTCAATTGCACGCGCCTATGTGCGCCACTTCTATATAGCCAGGTAATTTATGCCGGCATACCTCTAACAGTATTTCGTGACAATAATAATGATAATAATGATAATAACTTACAGCAAACAGTAATAATAACAAGAATGATGGTTTCCGTGTGTTTTCATAAATGTATTTAAATCTTCTACAAGGGTACTGGACAAACTTTATAAACTGAGTGATCAGTTTGGGTAGTTCTGATTAAAAATGATATCCCCCTGCTCAACGGTGCTGTCTGACCGGCCATAATTAAGGACGTATTCTCAAAGCACGGAGATCAAAAGAAAAATCGTGTTTAAGTCCATGAAAAAACAACAGGAGGGTAGAAAAGCGAAAAAGAAAGATTTGGTACGGTAGAAATGAAGCTTGAGGTGATTGTGAATATTGAGAAATGACTTTTAAACATGCACAAGGGATGATATTGTTTGCATGATTTTCAGTTTAGTCATGATGGTTACCTTCACTCCCCCTCAGTTCTTCATCATCAAGCGCCTTTGACCTCTGCCTCTCCATCCTAATTTCAGCAGATTTTGATGCAGCACTAAACGCCTATGTCAGAGAATACAAATGGCTTCCATAATTATCTTTTGATTACAGAACAGAGAACTCTTTTTTTTCTGCCTTTGCAACGTGGGTTTCGTTCCCATGGCCCAGTAACTCGGTCAAATTCAAATTCAAATTTTTTTCTTACATCGGACCTCTCATTGGTTGTTAAAACAACCATTAATAAAGAATAGATAAATTGAACAACGAGACTCCGTGTTATTTACATGAACATAATTACCTGAGCCGGTCAATTTGACTCATGTAAAGAACGACTTATGAAATGGTTCTTAACGAATCTTTGCGCGGCAAAGAGAAAGACAAGGTTGAGGCGATTAAAACTAGAATTACATGTACCACAGGGAAGAGAGAACATAACCGGAAAGTCTTAATGGCAGCTCGTCCAGTGACGACTCTCTCTTATCTGCTTCCTCTTCATTCAAAGTTTTAAATTTTTATATTTTTTTATCTTCTCTTTTTGGTTCAGTTCTCAATCTCAAATCTCCTCCCAATCAAACAGACTTGCTTCGCAAAACAACGTGGTAAAAGCTTCAATTTTTATTTCTGATTCTACCTATGGCAACACTTTTGTCGATTGCCTCTGGTTTATGACTTAGGGTTGGAGGAAGATCTATTTCCTTGACAAATGAGAGAAAATGAAATTAATTCATATCGTGTAACGGCGTGGATCTTACCTCTTCCAAATCTTTCTGAAGCGTTGCAATCATCTGTTCTTTCCTGTTCAATGTGGCCTCCAGTTCGCCTGTTCTAAACTCCATGTGATGAATCTTATTCTTGTAGCGGTCAACAATGGATTTTAAACGATCCGTTTCTTCTCTCTAACGGTAAATGTCGTGTTGTTTAGTTAGCGAGCGTGTAGAATCTCATTCAGTCGATATTATGAAACAAAATCGTTGAAACTGAGACTCGAGCAGGCCGTGCGTGAAAGGAAACGTCTGTAATAGAGTGAATATGCCCACGACTGTCTTTTCCTACATGTGTTTAAGACAAGCAAAACACGCCCCCATCTGAAAATGACTTGCATCGCAAGACTTTCATCCCATTGGACACAAAGTTAAACATCTTTGGAATATCACCTCGAGCAATACAACCAAACATTCCCCCATTTTGGCTCAGGTAAATTCGATCAAGTGACGTACATATATAAACCAATTGAGCGAGAATTAATTAACGCATTTGAAGGATTATCTTGAGCGATAAAAAGAAACGTAAAGCAGACACTTTGCAAGATATTTAGCTAGATTAGGTAGAGAAAAACCAAAGCGTCAATTGTAGGAGTTTAAAAAAAAGCAGGTTACCGTCGGCCACCGCCTGTTTAGCGTGCGAACTAGCTCCAGTGTCTGGGATTCGCCTTACGGCACGGCCACCTATTACAATATCGGCATCCGCGCATGGAAAAAGTTACATTGAAACCCAAGCAACTGAAGGAAAACTAAGTGAAAAGAGACTTTTTGACACGGATTTAAAAATTTGAAATTTCCCAATTTAGGCGAAAATTTTCAGTTTGCTTAAACATTATCAATACACTTGAAGAAAACGAAAGCAAACGCAGCAATCACCTCTGTTATTTTAGAGCATTGAAAAAAAACAAAAAAACAAAAAAAAAAAACAAAACAGAGCTTCACCTCTTTTTCAAATTGTTCCTTTTCTTGTATAAAAGTGGTAACTCTCTGCTCAAGATCTCCACACTGTTGCTTGAATGTCTGCAGTTCCACCACCTTCTGCTTCAACCTAAAGACAAGAAATGCGCATTGATTTATGGCTACCTGACAATGTCGTGTCTTCCCTTCCTTTTATGATTCGAAAAAAGCGAAAACAAAGTAAGCGTTGGTCATCTTCGCTGCGAGACAAACTTCTCATAACACAAGATTCACTTCACCCTGCTTGCTTGGGGAAAAAGAGATCTAAAATTATTTGCTGTTAAGGTCCACAGACCACACAAGAGACTTCTACTATTCGTTGCTATCGTTACCTGGCGTTCTCTTTATTAGCCTTTTCGTATTCATCTTTAAAGTGCCTCATAAGTTCCAATTCATCAGCTGACGATAGTAGTTTTGTGACCTCTTTGCGCAATTTTAAGATTGTGGCATCTAGAAACGGAGAAAAGGCGCGTTAAAGCCAAAAAAAACTTCGCAGGTCTTTAAACCCTTACTTCGGACATTTTACCGGCTTCCGAGCAACTTGGCCTTGTGCTGTTGTTTGGTGAAAGACTTGGCCAGTTTCATATACTGCTGACTAGCATGCCTTCTCTTCCAGAAAAAAAAAGTGTGCGCAGTGTAATTCTTTAAAAATGTCAGTTTTAAATGTTTTCTCTGCTCTTTTTTACCTCTTGCATCAATCTCCTTGTTCTTTTCTGTAACTTCAGCCTCTAAGTCGCTTTGCAAATGAGCCTGTGAGTCTAAAGAGGCTTGTAGCTTGGTAACTTTCTGTTGCAACTTGTTCAGCATTAACTGCCAAAGACGAAGGAAGTAATTTTATTGTTTTCAGAAACTTTATTTTACCTATTAGATGGGTTTAGTGTTAGATAGGTTCAGCAGAACGTTATCGGAAACGGGCAAACGACAAAAGTTCGACTTTTTCCCGGGTGTCCACGGTCGGTATTACTCTAAAGCGAAGTTTTTGTTCTAATTAAGAAAACTAATTTCTCTTCAGGTTATTTTCCTGCAGGATTCTAGCCGGTCATCATGTTGTCCCTTGGCAAGACACTAAACTGTGACTGTGCCTCCCTCTGCCCAGGAGTACATGCAAAGATAGGTTCCGGCGAACTGTCAAAGGAACGTAATGAGATGTTGGGAGGGAAGGGGGATAAACTTCAATAGACTGACAACCCATCCAGGGGGAGAAAGAAAACTGCCAGTCTCATAATGCTACAAAAACTGGGATCAGCTTCGGCTGCATGGGCCACTTGGCTCCGAGTAGACTATACTCCTTAAGCTTACCCAGTTACATATTCAGGGAAAAGTTTCTTTGTTTTTTTTGCTTTCTTTTTCTCTAAATGTCAAGCATAGACACTGTGTCCTCTTCACTTGAATGTGACATTGGAGAGAAACTACATGTATTCAACACAGATTTTACTCTTCAGAAAACTGGGGTCTGAGCAGTAAAATCTTTAAAACACATAGACATACAAAGATAATGGCCTCTACATGATTGTATATTGTTCCCTGCCTAATGGGGAGTGCCTGTACTTGCAGGCAATGCTGCAAACAATCTTTTTCAAAACCCATTAGTTACTTAGTATCAAAACAGAATCATTATAAAGTTATGGAATAAAGAAAACTGACCTGATTTTGTTTGCTGCGTAACTGTGGAGACCCCACAAGAGATTTTAAGGGGGAATTGGTGAAAAAAGCCTCCACTGGCGACTGGACAGTTAAAGGTGATGGCATGTGATCAGAATCAAGGTCTAATTTTTGGCCTTCTACTAAATTCACTGCAAAAAAAAGAAGTGAGATGAAATGGTTGGCAAGTAAGTTATCTAGAAGTGGTACTTTCTCCACCAAGTATCACAGCACCAATTCAAAAATTTCCATCTATTCTATACTTTGTACGTTATCTTGAAATACTCTAGCCTATGTTAGGCTCTGCTGTAAAAACAAAGACAAAAACAAAACCATTAACAAAGAAGAAATGTTTTCTGACTCAAAGTTTGAACAACACTGCCTATCAAAAATTCCTGGATCTGCTTCTACCTATTTGGCAATTGTTCACCCAAGTGGGATGGCTAGCAGAGGACATTTACATGTACAGAGCCACAAAGCAGTAAGGTAAATATCCACTACAGCATTACAGCACAAAAAGGTGATTTAAATTTATTTCATCTGGCAAGACATTTCAATTATTTTGGGCAAAAATCCTTAGAGTGAGTAGCCAATCAGAGAATACCTTTGACACTACCAACTGTTTTAGTATAATACTATTAGTGTAATTGCTTCATTGATCATAAAGATGCATACACTCTGATTGGTCCAGGACTGCGTCATATCTCACTATAATCACCTTGTGTGAGGTGATTATATTGATACGAGTAATCAAGAGAATTGTAACAAAAGATATGCAAATGTTTCCTTCTTTACAGAATGGTTCCAACAACAGAATGAATTTACAACAGAATTCAAAAGCACTTGTTTGAGCAATCAAACTGAAACATTATTTTATTCACCTTAGGCTCAGCAAATATTGTTAAATAATACTTTAACTTCATCTTGGGATTATTAAACAATATTTGCTTTGCCCTCTTGTTGAATAATTTTTAATATCACATATATGTCCATCAATTGACCAATATGTTCACCAAGGCTATCTCATGTAGTACAAAAGATGCATTTCATCTAAGAAACACATTATTTTTACTCTCTGTTATTTCAATCCCTGTAAAGCTACATTCATGTACAACTCACCTTGTTTGCTTAAAATGTTAGCAAAGGATTCAGCTGTGAGACAACCTTGTTCCATGTCAGTAAACACAGATTCAATCAGGAATTTAAAACTGAACTGATCTTCAACATCCATTTTGGTAATCTGATCCACAAATACAGCTACATTATCACACTGTGTTGCTCCACAAAGTAACAGTGTAATAACCTGTAGAAGAAGAAAATCATGAGGGTATAAATTTTTGTGACCTTTGGCCTTGCAAGTACACATGCTGTTTGAAACAACTTCTAGTGATCCACAAGGTCTTAACCCTTTCACTCCCAAGATCTGATTGTTAATTCTCCCCTCTAACTGGCACACAATTCCTTGTAAATAAGTTATGAGAATTTGGTGTTAGATCAAGGTAACAACTTCTTTCTGATAAGTTTGAGTATTCTCATTGCCTGGTGGCTGGATAATGTACGGATATTATAGGGAGAAGTTGCAAGTTAATCACTTCTGGGAGTTAAGGGGTAAAATGTCTCACAGCTCATGCCAAGCCTGGTAAATATTGGGTGGAAAGAAGTTCAAAAAATTTTTAAGGCAGAAAAAATTATAAAGTTGACAGCTACCAGAAGTTTGATCCTCACTCTAACATTGTTATTTTCAGAGAAAATAGGTGGTCATTTGTGCTGACATACAGTAGACAGCAAATTCCACTGGTTAACAACTCTTATTGAAACCCCTGGGTGGACACAAACAATTTAGCAGTTCAATCATAGGTGAGACATTTTTTTTCATTTGCCAAACTTGTTTATCAAGCAAACATATAACATTTCATATACTCATCTAAGAAGATCATCTAAGAATGAAAAAGAGTAAAAAAAGGGAATCAAGCAACCTTTGCTATTTCTAGTTCATTTCTGTTCCTGAGATAATCTTCATTTATAACAGAGTAAAAGTCCTGGCGGTGAAATCCTGAAAGGAAGAGAGTTAAACACAGTTTACAGAGGAGACCTACAGAAATTTTTTTCATGCGCTTACTAAATAATGTTCATTTATTTCATATGAATGGGCAAAAAAGTGCTAAATTATCTCATTATATTTATCATTAATTTCTCAGGGACCCACTGAGAAGAAGCCCATGTCACATTTCAGCCATGAAGCCTGACCCCCCTATGACTATGCCCCTGGTGCTGAAGTGAGAATGACAGTTTATGCACAAGTTAGTAACTATGTGTAATCAAAAATTTGCTGCCATCAAAAATTTGTAAAATATGGTCATCACTGCTTTCTGCTCATGGTCATTCTCTCCACAAGCCTTAATATATTTTTCAAATATTAACAGTCTTCAAAAGCAACCCAAGTTAAATCTCAGCTCATTACTACGCTCTACTACCCATTAATTTTTTACAACTTTCAATTATCTAACTCTCTCCCCTGTTTCAACATTTACATATACATAGCCTCTTGCAATATTGTTTGGGAAAAGAGGAATTTTTGAGTAACTTTCTAATTATGAATTACAAGGTTTCTGTTCATCATGTTGATTGAAGGGTTGTGGACCACCGAGTGAGGGGAGGGTGCAAACTACATGTACCTTTCCCCACCCATTGCAGATAGAAGCTATAAAAAAAAATTTGTTAATACATAATACAGGTCACAAGTTTCAGGTCTGCTTATACAGCAGAACCCGGCCTGCTTTGTTGCAAACTCAGTAATTTGGTCACCTAAAAATTACAGCCACTTTTTATGTCCTTGCAAAACAGGAATACACCTTCTTATAAAAAAACCCTCATTAACATTCTAAAATCCTAAATAGTAGAGTCCTTCAAAACTTCACCCCTTTAATACAGCCACTAGCACTTAAAATAAAATGCCTGTGACATGTCATTGTCATTGTTCTCTGTCATTTCCTAATCAAAGAGTGATTTTACTTTACAGTCAAGTAAGAAACCCTCCTTCTTTCTTTATTAAAATGTTTAAGGAAAGTAAATCTTGACCTTAACATTCTCTTGGGCAAACTGCAAAGTGATAAAAAATAAAATTTGACCCTATCCCAGTGATACAGCCTCCTGTATGGCAATTTGTTTTGGCCCATTGGTGACAGTATTAACAGGGTGCCTTAACATAATTGCCAGTTGTATATTTGATTTAAACTTAATCAAATTATGACTCTTACATACCCTTTAGGTAGGAGATAATCAGTGACAATACTTGCTCAAGTTGGAATTCATCACTGCCACCTGGAAGATCTTTGACTGTTTCCTTGTCACTAACAGTTACAATATGGATGACAGGGATATTTAAGTGGTGTTCAGAAGTATTGAAAAGAGTAACAAACACAAAATTTTGAATGCAAAGAATTGGGTGGCGTTTAAAATAGAAGAAGAAATAAAACATAACAAAATTAATATAGGCAACACAATAATGCCTTGTTGTGAGGAAAGACTGGTAACCAAACCGTGTCGTTTGGGAATGCAGTGAAATGTGAATAGCTGCTTGTACGTGTGGTACAAAACAAATTTCAGACTCAGGTTTCCGTGACTTATAATTACAGCGCACATAAATCAAAACTGTGTACCGATGACTAATGTGAAGGATAAACAAATGTATCGAATGAGTTTCATTTGTCGAAGCCAATTCATGGATTTGGGGGAGATTGAGGAAGCAACATGAAAAATACAAGATCAAATTGCCTCCCAACGAACGTACATGTACATGCATGTAGCTTCACCGACTCTCGCCGATCCTCGTCTTTTATAGCTGGTGGATGCAATGGTAAATAGAGAGAAGATTTTTTTTTATACTTAGTACTTACATTAGATGTATAATCTTGAGCAACAGGTTTTTACTTTCCGGATCCGTAATGTTCTCGATTTTCTCTTCTTCGCGTGAAGCATTTGCATTGATCTGTAAATTATCAAACAAAGACGGGAATGAAACAAGAATAATTTGCGTTAATTTTGCTGTAAATGGTAAAAATTTCAAAATGGGAAGAGATCAAGAGAAATGTATGCAGACGAATGTACAACTCGAATGAAGTTTTAATTTGGCTACGAGCACTTTTAGTAAATTGGAAATGCGAAAAATAACGGATTACTCACCCAGTTCAACAAAAACTTGGAGCTGGCCTCATTCATTTTGGAACTCCCAAGGAGCTTACTCCGCAGAATACGTTAAAATAGTCCAAACAGAAGCAAGATCGAGAAAACGGACAAATCGAACCGCAAAATAGAATGTAAACTGCTCAGAAGATTTGGCGGTTGATTTTGAAATTGACACGATTAATCCCACAAAGCTTAGCGCGGTGTGAATGTGTGTGTATGTGCGGCTGAGAAACCAAGCCTTCTACGATTAAATTTCCTGTGAGAAGATTTTGCAAGAAGTATCGTGCCTCGAACTATTTTCAGGTTTTGAAGACATTTGGTTCCCTGAAACTAGCTTAACTCTTCTTTGAACAGTCTGTACTAGCCTTCCAGGAATGGGGTGCTGTTTCAGTGGCGAGGAGAGAACTGATGGCTCTGTAAGTGAGGTTTTCATGTTTCTTTTTCGTATAGGATCGATTTGTCATGTGACTGTCAGTCTTTTTCGGGGCCTGAGAATCGAATATTATTTTTTTCGCCTTCTTTGTAGATTTCTTTTATATCTTTTCTACAGGTATATGTATTGTGCCTGTGTGATTATTCGTGTAGTTTGGAACCTCTGTTGTCTGTCGTCTGATTATCGTAACGTACATTGTAATAATGCAATGATCAAAAGATCCTAATAAACTTTAGCCGAAACTTAACTGAGCTGATCTGTATTTTCTAATCATAGTGAGGTGATTATGATAGAAAGCACTGTTAGAAAAAAATTCAATAGTTTACGTCATTGGGTCAACAATCACTCAGTGATTACAATATTATACTCTTTATAAGTGATCTGATCAGGTCTGCCTCTTCGAATTAGGTAATTAAAATAGCAGCGTATAAATCTTACTAGGCTAAAATGTACCTGATTGTAAAGTTATTCAAGAGATTGACTTATCTACAAAATTGATGTGTATTTTCTGCAGAGGCAAGCAACTGAGAGAGATCCATTACTAGGAGGAACATCAACACCAATTACCAATGGACAGAGACCAGTGTGAGTTGATTATTTCGCATTTGCTATTATTTTGTATGATGCCACTTAGCTGCTTAGGCCAGGGAGGAAAGATAGGAGGTCTTGTGACCATCTAAGTATTGTCTCATTGCAATATTTCAAGGTTAGAGAACCTCCAAAAGCACAGTGTTTTTATTTAATTGGCATACCTTTTAGCTCAAAGTACAGTCAACTCTTGCCCTGCAGACACCTTGCTATTACAGACACCCTGCCATTGTGGACAAGAGCCAACCCCCTTCCCTCTCCTCAGCAAAATGCATAAGGAACTGACTGAAATAAACTCCTGTTATTTCAGTTTCTCGCTATCACAAAAAGGCAGACACTTTTATGCCCTCCAGCACAGTATTTCATTTGTATTTTCTTTCTCTGTTCTGGACACTTGAGAAACTCGTCCAAAACCTGACTCACACATTATAAAGCAACATTAAAATAACAAAAGAAATAATTTTTTAAAATGGGTGCAAACAGGAGAATTTCCTGCTTGCAGCAGCCAGATCTTTTTCCAGTTTATAAGGCGACATTTAAAAATGTATGTTCACTTAGTTACTTATTATGTCATTATGTTTAGAGACAAAACAATTGTTTTTCTCTCGTACCCCACTATTACAGACTCTCAATCTCCTCTCTGAGGGAGTCCAAAATAATGGGAGTTGACTGTTTAATTCGGGTCTTTATCAAGAGGAGACTTAGTTGTTCACTTTCTCACTAATTTTTATGAATTTAAAATATCTTGTCGTCTTTTTTTTTTCTGGAATTGCTGAATGAGCAGAGTTCCAAACTCAATCACAAAACTTCTCTGGTGGGAACTTATTAAAAGACATGTGAAACCCAAACAAAAAAATAAAACATGTCCACCCATTCAAGTAAATTCATGTTACTTTATTTGTTGTATGGTGAAATTTACTTGTAACCTAAACTCTATGTACATTGAACTTAACCCAGTTTATCTGGCTTGCATCTTAATACAACGGGCATGGAACATTACAGATTCAATGATATATTAAGTAACTTAATTGTTTTAAGAATGCTTGCAATTGAGAGGACCAGTTAGCACTTATACTAGTTAACAATAAACAACTGAAACATTCATGTTATTCTTAGTCTGTGACTTGGTTTCATTTTCAGTGATGATGTACTCAACCATAGTTCTGGCCCAATATCCAAGACAGATGAACAATCATTATTAAGCAGAATACTTCATCAAACTGCACAGTATGTAATTTTTCTTGTTATAATCATCTGTCTTCAAACCGAATGAGTATGAATCTTGTGTTTGCACATTGGAGGGTTGTACATGGCTATAAGAGCTGGGAACTGGTTTACTTGCCTGGCTAGTTGTTGTAAAGGATTTTGTTGGTCACTCAATCAGCCTTGAAGCCAAGACTATGTCAAAAGGATAATTTAACCATTCAAAATTTTGCTTATTATATCAGCCATTAAGCCACGACTCTCTGAGGAAGATTAATGAGTACAAATTGATTAATTCTATGAATGTAAAGCTTTCTGTACAAACACCATCTTATATTTAACCACTGTATCATCCTATTTCAAAGTTGATGAAAACCAGAAACTTGATTTCAGTTCTCCATGGGATACCATTAATATTGTCACAAGGCACACGTTACCTGACTGTACAGCTTAACCCTTTCACTCCCAAGATCTCTTTACTAATTCTCTCTACTTTCTGCCATAGAATTTCTTATGATGTTAGTTTGGAGAATTTGGCTTTCACCCAGTAATCCTGAAAAAAATTTTTTTTGTGATTCTCCTCACTTATCTGCTTGATATTGTATTGATATTTTAAGGAGATATTCTCTCATGATCACTCATGGGAGTCTAAGGGTTAGATAAATGAAGAAAAGTTTTGAACTTGAATGGTATGAGTCTTGCCTCCTCTTGCTTTGAATGGAAACAGAGCCTGTACAACTTGAGGATTTGAACTTCTACGTTTTGAATTTTTTTTTTGTCAGGTGATCCTCAGAACATAATCATGTGACACATGCAAACTAATAACATTACTTATGTTGCAGCAAAGTCATAGATGTCTCCTCAACGGAACCTCACAGTATAGAAAGAACGGAATACATGGAAAGATCCAGACAGTACATGTAAGTGTATTGACACTGAAAACACAACAGTATCATTGGATATTCTGATAATGAAGGGACCGAAGCGCAGTGTGTTGAAATACATGGATAAGTTCATATAAATATGACTGAATTTCATAATGCTTAATGTACAAAGTACTTCTAGATGATCTTAAAATTTTCTCAATTGAATTAAGTGTACAACATGATAATACCTGCAATTGCGAAAAATGTAAAGGAAACTCTGCCCAGTGCTCAGTCACTGGGCTATAATAAGATTATTCTTTTGTTGTTTTTTGTAAATTGGCTTCTGTAAAGAGTTTCTCAATCTGACATTCAAGCATTAGTGCTTCCCTCTGCAGTTATTGATAGAATTATGCACCCAAACTTAGCCCTTTAACCCCTAAGAGTGACTAGTATCTTATTTCTCGTTTCAGTATCACCACTAGTAAATCACACACTGATATCATGAAAATAAAGGAAATGATCACCAATTAAAGAAACTAACTCTTGATCGTTTGACTAATTCTCCTTGTCAGCACCTTAGTAAATGTTCAGAGAACAGTGTGGAGAATATGAATACTGATGTTAGGGTGTACAGGTTTAATATTGATCTTTCACTAAGAAAACTCTAGTTAGCCAAGAAAATTATCTTGAAGGGTGAAATGTGAACTCTGTAGAATGAGTAAATAACAATTACATTTGACAAGAGCTGATTATGCAAAAGCCCTAGTGACATTAGCACATTGGATTTAGTCTGAGTCTCCATGACCATCTGACCATGCAGCCACAGTTCTTGTTAACCTTTCACAAATGTTATTGGGCTTCCAGGTCAAAATTATCTGCTGTTAATGGTTCAGCACTACATAACAGTTCCAATCTTCCTGGTGGAGTGAAGGCACCTTCGTCAGTGTTAGCTAGTGAACCAATACCACAAGGAGATGTAGCATTTGTAAGTGTTTGATTACTGTTGAAGAATCTGATGGCCAAATCATGTTTTTGTGTCCCGACCTAATTGAAACCATCCTGTCATAATTACAAAAAACTCTCCATGGCATAGTGCTAGCATGTTACAAATCCAGGAATCAGCTGGTAAGATTAAGTCTGCTTGTGGGAACAGTTCTGGAAAAAAATAGGGATTGTCAAAATTATAAGGAATATTAAGAAATGGACACCAGAACTGTATTTGTTAACCCACTTAAATATTTCTCCCTCCTGAAAAATTCAAGTTGTTTAAAACATACATGTATACATGTACTATCTTTGAAAGGAGGTAGAATGGAACTGTAACAACCTATTTTTCTCTTGAAGAATGGTTTTAAAATCTAAAGAGCAAAAACACAGAGGTTTTAATGAAAGGGGGTTACTGACAGTCTACCGCCACCTGTAAGACTTCTCACCACTGTCTTAGTACAAAGCAGGCTGCATTTCTCTTTATAACCACCTACATTTGTATTGCACTATCAGCAGCCACATGTAGGAAAATTTACTGTAACCCCGATGTTTTTTAACCAAATCTTACATTGAGATTTTGAGAACTTTTACAGTCATGTTTTGGTATCAATTTCCCTCTAAAGCAGAGAGTTCTTATTCTCAGTGGTAGTGTTACCATTTTTGTTTCTTATTGGAATCTGTGAAATGAAACAAAAAATGAAAGGAACAATGTTGCTTTATTTCAGGCAATCCAAGCAGCTAAAGGAGCAGATGCATCATTATCTGGGTTCCATGTTGAACATAGAGATGCCCTTGTGGTACAGTTTGAATCATCTTAGGAATTTCTGATGTTGTAGAGAATGAAATATTTATTGAAATTGAACCTTCCATTATTGTGCCTACCAGTAATTACGAGTAATTTCCAGAGCAACTTACATCAAAAGATAAGTAAAAACAGTAAAAGAAACATGGGAACAACTTTGGTTGAGCCTTCACAGCCTCCTGCCTCTCAGCTGCACCTCTTGCCACTCCCATAGGGGCAATGAAAACTAGTCCCATGGAATTTTTGCTGAACAGTAATAGATTTGAAACTGATAGGAGTAGGTGCCGGACTAAAACAAAAATTTGTCAATTAGTAAACAAGATTTTGCATTCAAAGTGACCATAATTATGGATATTTAATTCAGAGAGTAATTCTTACTTGATTGTCAAAATACCTTTAGGTAGGGTATGGGTTGGTTTTGCTTTATTCTACTCTGCATTTTGGTACAGGAAACTTGCATTGCTTTTTCAACTGAGCATATTCAATATTTAATGGAAAAATATCTTGCTTACACTGAATTTTCCTGCACTTTAAATTTGTTAAGCATTTTGCTCTGATTCCTCAAAGCAATTTTGTTCTTTTTGAACTTGATTACATGTACTTGATCTTCATTGTACAACACCAACCTGAAAGGCATTCTGCTCTTATTTTATGGGATAAAATTTTGAACATGGTAAGGAAACCTTTTGGAACTTTTCATGTGGTAAAAATGTGACTCATGAAAAGTTCAAATTGCAAAGCAGGTTGGGAAGGAGGTGGGGTG